GCATTCTATTTAGGAGAGCGTTCTTCAAATTGCCAAGGCGTGATAAATATAGTGCGTGACTTGTGGACTTGACAATCTTTGGAGTTTGGGTCGCTTCAATCTAAAGAAAAACACTGTCAACGTGAATATACGCAAAAACAACCATCATTTCACCGTCAGTAGAGCATGGGGAACGCACTGACACCGGGTCATATGGTTTCCGACAAAAATGGGATGATCCAAAAGCGATGATTACAACTTATTCATTGTCAAGGGAACGTTCCATCTTATCCGTATTGAGCCTTCTTTATTTTTCCGTTCATTTCAGCCCCCTCCCCCATGTGGCGTTTCCCCGAAATTTCGCTGTCCAGCAATACCACCGGTTCCCTACCGTAAAAATACCATAACAGCGGCCCTCGATGGCTTCCTTTCTGCTTCGTATTTTCAAGGTACTCTTATCTTACTGACCAGGATAAACTTTTGTAGCGCACACCGAAGTCGGTTCTGGAACGTCTGGAGGAGCTTGAGAACGTGAGTTTGTAGCACTCTTTTAGACTCGTGCATTCCCGTTACAGGAGATTTTGAACTTGGAATCTAAACGCTGCTCCAATATTGACTCGGAAAAGCGTTTTGTCTTCCGTCTGTTGTTGTACTCATTCATCATCTTTGGGGTCGGATTCATTGTTGTCTACGGGTACTTTTGGCCGTCCACACAGATTGGAAAGCTGATGCTGTGGACCTCTGTCTTGATCTATCCTGTGCTGTAAGTTGTTTCTAGAATTACGTCACATCGTGTTACAGTGTTAGTCTTCTCAGATGGGCGTTCCGGACGTTTTTCTTTCGACAGGTTGCAAAAACAGGTAGTTTCTTCCCTATATCCTATTTCTGTTCCATAAAGACGAACGACTGAAGCTTTTGCGGGAGGAAAAGCAAAGAATGGTAAGCGCTCGCTTTATCCACCGACTAACGAACTTAATTCGCATGTAGTTGGAGGAGGTAATGGAAAATGAGAAGTTCAACAAAGCACAGCAAATTCTGAAACGCTTCGATCCACTCATGTTCGCCAGACTATCGGCCATGGTAGGTTCTTTTTCCCCCCGTATGTTTTCGACCCTTCAGGAACACACACCCCAGCCACAGACACCAGCAACGGTTCGCAAGCCCATGGACACGGGGACTTCGGTTGTCCGCAACCGGAACCAACGGGGACCAGATGGTGATAGCATGTCCCATGCTCCAATGACGCCTCTGAGGAGAGCTGATGTAAAAGGTAGATTGGTTTTATACTGTATCTTCCCCTAAACTGGCTTGTACTCCACAGTGACTAACTCGTATGGAAGGACATAACGCATAGAATACTTTTTTGACTATTTATTCTTTCATTGACAGTCTTTCATCATTCGTCGAACTGGCAAAAGCACGTCGCTTTTTATCAGTTGTCAGTTCGGCAACAAGATGAGTGACCGCATACAGTTTACACGCGTTTGTTAGCCGCAATTATTCGCAAACTTCATCCCACTCTCAGACCAGTATACGATCCGTCGCAGTTTTGGAAACTTCTGGTAAATCTGATTTCACCAGAGTAGTCATCATCATCATAGAGGGACCATAGAGAGTACCATAACAAACGATCGGTATCACTCTTTTGAGATGTTTGTCAATTACAGTGATTTTCAGAACATCCTCCCATCTTTGGTGCCCTGATGCATATTCCTGTAGCTTGCAAAGTTAGAGCTTTGCTTTCCAGCACCCGTCTTGCTAGATAGCTACGTCGTACACAGAATGTGTGTGAATCTGAGTCGAACATTTTGCCTTTTCAACCCTCAGTTCTGAGTTTGCATCGAACTTCAATGGCAAACTTGTTTGGTGAAAAGGGTACGCATTGGTCTCGGTGCTAGCCAGAACAGTAAAGATTTCTCAGTGGTTTGCCTTCCTAACGGACGCTGATCCCTCTCACGTTACTCTCCTGTCTGTCTATAAGCCTTTCGTCTTGCTGTGATTGGTTCTACCTAAGGGGCGTTGAATTCACGAGTTCGTATTAGGTTGTTGCGCACTGCAGTCTTAATCATCGTCCCTTCATATATGTCCCTCAAGTTTTGCTTTGTCAGTCTAGCCCCGCGGGTGGTGGTTTTGTGACTTCTACCCTAAAGGGCTGTGTGGAAAGTGATGCTCTATCAAGCCACGCAGTTGTTCCGTAGTAGGAAGATGCCACGATCGCTGCCGTCGGACTAGGTTGGTCAGCGGAAATCTCTTCAGAATGTGACCGGGGATACGCCCAAGTCATGTATGGCTTTTATTGTATCCTTGTGAGGAATATAAAATTTTTAAACTTTTAAACTGTTTTAAAACTAGTTGGCTGTACCAGGGCTCCGGTAGAGCCCAAATGCGTGATGAGGACTAAGTTATGGCACAATCGAGGTGGTTCAGGTGGTTAGAGCACGAATTTACTGACCGTAGGGTTGGTGGTTCGAATCCGACCTCTGCCTCTCGACTTCCCATGTCTAGGCTTGGGCAACCTGGCAGTATCCCAGCCCTAGTGCTTCCTTCGGGTGGCATGGCAGCTAGGCACCTGAGGGGTGTTACAGGTGAACGATTTTTTTCGGTGCACAACGGACATCCATTCATAGGTATTCTCGCCTTTAAATTTACATAGGTAGGTTTTCGAATGAAATTTTTAGAGCCCACTCGGCTGTGTGTGGTCCGTAGTCAACAACCCTCCAGATGGGTCTCAGTAGTGGTCAAAGCGCCCGTTTGGCTGAGGTTTTCTGGATTTGACAGCGCGACTTTGCAATTTCTTGGTTTTCTTCTTGGGATGACTTGTTTATTCTGGGAACGACCGCATTTAGAAATTGGGAAAAATCGTTCAGCTGTAATACCCTTCCGGTGCCTAGCTGCCATGCCACCCGAGGGAAGCACTAGGGCTGGGATACTGCCAGGTTGCCCAAGCCTAGACAGGGGAAGTCGAAGGCAGATGTCGCGTTCGAACCACCCACCAATCAGTAAATTCGTGCTCTAACTACTTGAGCCATCCCGCCCCGTTCAGAAGTTGACCCCGAATAGACGTCTCATCGATTTTTCCTGAACTCGCCCGAAGCCGTCAGAATTTGGTGAATAGGCTCAAAGCGAAGATGGCGCAATTTTGATAAAACTGACCTGAAAACTGTGCCTTTCATAGTCTTTGGGACTCGGTGGACTAATGAGAACCTAATAATTGGAGGCGTCGATCCATTTGGCTAGTCTGTTGTACCACGGCAAATGCACCCCTACTGAACCGAGCGAAATAAGGCCAGTAGCGTTGGAATTCTATTAACTAACTGTCAAGCATAACTTATTCCCGTTACTTTACAACAAGGCCAACACGGACGGTAGATTCCACGAATGGACTTTACCATGATTAGTTGATGTCGAGTATCGAATGCAAGTCGTGGATTTATCGGGCTAGTCGACCTCACCTTAGATTCCCACAGAAGACACCTCGCCAAATTCAACCAAGCCCCGAGATACGACTGTCGTTCCAAATTTCGAGGCCGTAATTTAATCTGCCCTAGTTAATTTAGGATAAGGCAGTCGACTGATATAACTACGGTTACTGTACGACCAACAAGCTTTGCAGTGTTGCATACGAGAGATGTCAGACCGACGTTTGAAGCGACCAGCTAGAGTCTTCCGTATTGTTTATTCTTCAGTTGGTCTCCCATTGGATATAACTTAGCAAACTGGCTGCAAATATAGCCAAACTATTTTGATAAAGGAAACTACTACAAGGTTGCTGAAAACTCTTCAGCAGCCTCGTGAGTAGCTTCTTTTATGAAAATATACTGCGATATCTCGAATATCGTGCCAACTGAAGCATGAGGCGGCCTGTGTGTAGCACATTCAGTTGTAGAATATCATAAACGAGAGATTCAATTGAGTCTCTCGGTAAAACCGAATTGATTTGCAAATGCGTGTATTTCTGGAGATAGACAAACTATTCTTTAACTCCTCTATAGTAATGAGCTTTCGACCACTTCAGGCTGCTTTCATCGAATCCCTCTTTCGACTGTTAAACAATAAGACGAGAATACTCGGTGTATTCTAGGAAACCAGGTTGGTTGACACGCGTAATCACAAGCCAAGATCCGTCAATTCTTGAGATTTTGCGCATTGAACAGATGCGAACTTCAAATTCCGGGTGCTTCCGCCCAAGTTGTCTAGCCGATTGACGTTCTAAAATTTGATCTAAAGACTGTGGAGACAGCATACCCGGGGAAAACGACAACTCGACGTTATTTGACGACAAACGTTCGCGCACAACACATGGTAACGCCAGGGGCTCAGGCGAGCATTTAGGCCGTTTGCAGAAGTTGATTCAATGGGTCCAAGGTTTCCTTGGGATTACGGGTGCATATCGAACCTATGAGATAGCTGAGAAAAATAATGGTTCCAGTTAAGGGGCAGTTTGAATGGTGAATAGAAGTAGCCATTTTTATAACAGTAATAGCTAGGGTTAATTTGTCCTCACGCAACCATATACGCTGTTTCTTTTCCAAATTAAAGTACAAACACTTCACTGTTTCGAGCATGAGATAGTTTACTTTCAAATACGTGTACATAAATTATTGATCTACATGTGCTTACATTTGTAAGCAGCACGCATTAAACGCAACACCGATTAACAGTCGTGTGTATGCGGTGCATCGCTTTCAATGAATGATTAAATTGTGTTTTTAACTGTCGACTACCGTAAGTGATGCAACAGGAGTAGGTACTTTTTCAGCGAATCATCACAAAGACTCCCTCTCTATCCTCGTGTTTGTGTAATTCAACAGGTTAGTTGCATTGTTGTCAACATTATCGGATCTGGGCCATTGAACTTTTTAAAGAAGTAACTATGCTTCGAAAGGTTCCCTCATAAGGATCAGTATGCAAGCCTTCTGTGCGTGCATTGCTCGTACTACTGTAACTAGCAGTTCAATCTTTATAAACTGTCTTGATGTAGTATACAGGGCGTTACTGGTCGACTTATTTGGGCAGACTTTCCCGCCAATGTTCATTCCGTATCATAACTTGATCAGGTGGTCTAAAATTGTCATCATGTGGTCTTCTGTTGGCTGTTTATCATCCGATGCAGCCCGAAATTCCGTATCCGACAAGTGTGCACGAGAACACAGCGCGAATCGGTCCTTCCGATTGTAGCTAAATTCGAGACACCGTGTGAAGCAGATGATGTGGGTCGTCACGCGCAGGTTCATTAACGAAGCCAGAAGCATTACGGTTTTTGGTACTGGCGAGTTTGATGGCCCGCTCACTCTGCGTCACGAGGCCCTAGACGGGTATCGGCGCGAGGTGGACTGACCGGAAGGCTCCAGGTTCGAACCCAACCCCTGCCTCTCGACTTCCCCTGTCTAGGCTTGAGCAACCTGGCAGTATCCCAGCCCTCGTGCCTCCTTCGTGTGGCATGGCAGCTAGGCACCGGAAAGGTGCTACAGCTGAACGATTATTAGACGGGTATCAGTCACTGCAGTTTCCCTCTTCTTGAAGCTATACGGTTTCATCATGATCTTCTGAGTTAAGAGCTAGGAAATGGTTGAGAAACCATACCTAGCTTGCATCTCGGCAATTCAGTGGAAATCATCTTGTACCCAACTCGCAGATGCTGCGGACGTTGTGAAAAGCGGAAAGATACTTTAAAAATATGTCCTGTGAAACGTACCGGGTTGATCTCGTGATCGTCGTTATGAATTTCGTCACCAGCTCACTAGAAGATAAGACAATATATATCAAGCATTCCACTGACAAACCCGACCTCGAGCCGTCAAATCACTTTACCGTTGCGGAAACGGGTCTCATTCCCTGGCCGTCCATCAGATGCCTAACTGTTCCTAGACGTCCGACTACATCCCAACCCAACCTAACTAGACGCTTCGTGTGGCAATGTCCCTAGGATTCTTTTGAGACTAAAGCGATCATGTGAAATTCCTAATTTTGAACGCTGTTGTGTATCCGTGTATCTGTGCAAGTTGCGTTACTGTTCCTCGATATCCGGAAAACACCATACTACCTTCGAGAAATGCGCTTACGTCACTCTGAGCAATTTCCCTTATGAAAGCACACAACGATATCTCGAGTGAGTGTATTTCTAGAAAACGGTCAAATTATGGTTCAGGAAGAACATAAGTTTGACGGAAGCTCTGGGACTGCGCCCACCTGATGAGCCTCAAGAAAGACGAAACTCGTCGTGGGCTGTCGAAGAATTTTCAGCAACCCTGTGGGTAGTTTCCTTCATGAAAACCATACTACCTTGTTTTAGGCTGGATGCTGTCAGTGAGTCGTTGATAACTGTTAACCTTTCGTCCATGCCTTTGAATACGCCAAGAGATGTTGTAATCTGCGGTGATCATAATGCGATCACATTAGTGACGATCTATAGTTTGCAAAAAATTACTTAACCATCCATCATCGACGAATGTCTTGAGTAAGTGATGAGTTTCATTGGGATAGATTCCTTTCCGTTTTCAAAGCCTCAGCCAAAAGACGGTACAGGTCTGTTCATCGCCCTTGTAGAAACTCCAGCTAATCTATCTGGATGTGCTACATACTACCCACAATACGAAAAGCCCTCCTGTTCTGACGGTGCACAGAGCATTGTCTAGTGATTGAAATTCAAGGAATGTCGCCAGCCTCCGCATCTCCTATCATAACCTCCCAGTTGAGGACCAATGCGCATCTCAGCCATCTAAGATGGGTGGTGTAGCTGATCGAGTCCTATGAACTCGCAAGACTAGGTTTCATGAATCAGGAACAATGGCATGTGGAACTGTTCAGTGCGTTCCGCTCATTTCTTAGGACTACCCACGGACTCCTTAATTAACCCAACATGTTCTGGATGGTCCTAAACCACCGTGGACTGGCGCTGTATCATTCCTCAGACTTCGATTTCCATAGTGGCCATATAGCAAAAGGGTGCCACAGTTAAACGATTTTACCAACATCGGGTCGTCAGAACTGCGTGTTGCTGGGCTTGATTGCTCTCCCTTGTGTTGACTGAATTCGTACGTGATCGTGGATGCAGCAAGATGCATTCGGACTGTTTTTCGTATCTGTTCTGAATGGACACTGATTCTCCGTTTCCTGAAAGCCTGGACTATGACGAGAGTTATTGAAAAATCCCACCCATGCATAAATAGTTGTTTTTTCAAACTAGTTAAATGTTTCCTTAGACCTTCTATCCCAACGACGCTCGTGCGTATGAGTGCCCACCGTGATGATGTCCACAGGGTCATTTTTAGCTTCCGGCGATCGGGTCCTAAGTCGTGGTTTTGAATCACAGTCATCGTCAAGGGGGGTGTGCTGCGATCGACTGCGTATGTACGGATGACCGGGGCTGTCTGTTTTTTCGTTTCAGGTCAAGTTCAGGTCAAGTATCGGGCGTGTAGGATACGCAGTACTAAGTTGGATGAGGTCGGTTTAAGGACGCGTTCATTTGGATGGCTCTCCCTTAGTTTTTGTTTTATGGACGAGAGAACTGGATTTGTTTAGGGTGTGGGTGTTTCTCTTGTTTAAGGTGACAATTGATGTAACAAATGGAATCCATGTAACCATTGTACGAGAATTGAACGTTTCGAGATTTCAGTTCAGTGAATCACGATTCCGTTGCGGATACTAACCAGGCTTTTTGGTTAGTAGTTCACGCGCTATCAGTGAGCGGACCCGCATCTTTCTGTTCTGTCAAAAAGTCTGAATTGTTTGGTGGTGTTTGATGCTTCTCGTCCAAAATTATACATCCTTGTGGAGCCGCTCAAGTAGGTATTTTCAACTTTTCCATGCTGAACTATTCCGCCGGCTTTCCTGGGATACTTCAGTAGGGATTTTACAATGTCCGTGTATGAAATCAAGTGGCGAGATGGACCAAGTGGTTAGAGCGCGAATTCGCTGACCGGAGGGTCCGTGGTTCGAACCCGACCTCTGCCTGCCGACTTCCCCTGTCTAGGCTTGGGCAACCTGGTAGTATCCCAGCCCTCGTGCTTCCTTCGTGTGGCATGGCAGCTAGGCACCGGAAAGGGGCTACAGCTGAACGATTTTTCTATGAAATTAAGGCGTTCCGTTGAGGGGGCTCATGCGAGCCTTTGGGGACATGTTGGTGTAGAAAGACTGTGGAATACTGTTATCATTGGCACTGCCACAACTACGTTGTCTTGTAGTTTCGCTGATTGTCAGGACAGACCGCTCGAATAAGATGCTTTCGCAGTCAACCAAGACTGGATTCGCAGTGCCTACGAAAAGAGAACATCCACAAACAAGAGCCCAAGCCTTCTTTTACCATGGTTTTCTCAGCGTGAATGGCTGCATACGGAGCGTCCCATTACCCCACTGGTCAAATCATTTTCCCTAGAAAGCTTATCTCTTCCGCTTAATTAATTGTTCCCGCCGTTCCACTGTTCATGTGTTTTTTTTTCGTTTGGGGCGGTGGTAGTTGTTCGCTGAGCAACTGAATCTTTTTCTTTCTGGAGAAAGGTTTTATAGAGCAAGATATGTTTGTCAACTTTTCCGTCCTCATCTGAAACGCTTTGTTCTTGGGTAGTCTTATTCATCCTTTAGTCATGACGTTCTGTGCTGTTTTTTTTCCGAATCGTATCAGTCTATGACCTCGTTTTTTGTCCAAATGACCGTATGCAGTGGATAACATTGGTTGCCGCTACCGTGTCATAATTCCAGTCGGATCGGTTCCAGTTCATCTTGGCATCTTCTTAAGATTCTGGATTAGTTTCTTCTTCAGGCTCATCTTTAACCTTAAAGGGGTTGGCATGCGGCGGTGAACGTTGTTCTGGAGCACAACAACTAAACGCACCAGAATCGCTACTTGCTATGCCAGCTGACGTCAGCTGACTCGAAGTCACTCGGCTGACATTTGCATGTAGTTGGACAGAGCTCACCCAACACTCCCATGTAATGCGATTTACACTGCTGTCTTTTAAAAAACCATGATCGATGCACTTTTAAAACCGTTCTTAACTATCTACAGCTGCATCCTCCGTGGACCTGAAGGGCTCAGAGCAAGCAAGTGCACAAGTGCCTGCACAACAAACTGCGGAGAAGCAACCACGTCTGTTGCGCCCCATACTGCCACGGGAGCGCTCTTTGTTCGATCGGTTGGTTGATGCGCTGGTCGGTGATGGTCCAGATAAGCGATACGCCCTGATATGTCGTGAGTGTGCTTCTCATAATGGCATGGCCTTACAGGAAGAGTTCGAATACCTTGGTGAGTATTTTCGATTTTTTGTCACTCATCACTTCAGGCGATGGGTTCCACGTATGACCAGGTGGACCGAGTTCTTCTCTCTGGTCTTGGTGCAATCGGCCTTTTTTTCAACCATTATGCTGTGTTAACAGGTCTCTTAATAGGCGTTTAACGGTATAAATCCTTGTTGGATCTGTTGGCCCTAGGAAGTATCCTTGACCTGATGGATGAAATAACGGCATACGATTTGGAAAATGAAAACAGTTTGTTAGTCCAGTCGTCACACAATTGATGTCAATAGAGTCGGCCAGTTTTATCGATGAGACGACCAGACTATTGCGTAAACGAATGTCTGGACATATTCAATCCTGGCTGGCGAAAGGTCTCCTGCGGTGCATAAACATTTCGGTTGCGGGCTCACCTAATCGATAAAAGGTACCATGTGGATACTGAAGCCTCCAAGCGGGATTTCGACCGGGTAGAGGCTGCGTTGACCACATCTTCACGCTCCGTCAGGTGTTAGAGCAACGCCACATGTACAGACGACCCATAATCCTGGTATTCCTTGACTTCAAGAGTGCGTTCGATTCTGTTGATCGATCAGTTCTGTTAACTACACTTGCTCAACAGGGTATGCCCCAGAAGTTTGTAAACATAATCCGATCTCTATATTCACATACTTCTGGGCGGGTGAGGGTGTATGGTGAGCTCTCCAAAAGCTTTCCTACAAAAAGTGGTGTCAGACAAGGATGCCCACTCTCCCCATTCTTGTTCAACTTCGTCATCGATGAAATAATGAGGCGAACACTGGACGGTTTTCAAAACTCCGGTGTTCAAACTGTTGCTGGCGAGAGCCTTGTCGATTTGGAGTACGCAGATGACATCGCCCTCATCCTTGAAGACCTTAGCGAAGTACAAGCCCTGTTGAACAAACTGACCGCCATCATACCATCATTTGGCATGCGCCTTGCACCTTC